ACATACATACATACATACATACATACATCATACATACATACATACATACATATATATATATATATATATTACTTAATATACTAATTTTTACCATCCTGTTTTTTGAATAAATAATAAATTGAGAATGAATAACGCTAACAGAAAATTATAAAAATAAGCATTTAAAACATCTACCTTTTTCCCTTATTCATAATTTTATAATTTTTTTTATATGATTTACATTGTAAAGTATTATAAATTAATGAAAAAATTTAAAAATAAATATATAAAGTATAAATTTACAATTGTGTTTTACCATTGTTACATTCTTTTATAATAGAAATTTAAATTCTAATGTTTTACAAACTAGGGAGATATAATACACAAACATTTTTTGTAGTCTTGTTTAACTCGATGTAATAACTTTATTATAGTACAAAACAGTACATTATCATACATGCACTGTATAATGTATAACGTATCAAATAATTTGTTAATATGCAGTGTTATTTTTATGCATCATAAAATTTTATTTCATTTCTACTCCATAAAAGACATTGAATAAATTACAGAAATATATTTCCTACTTATGAATAATATATATTTATGTATATATATACACAGTAGTTTTAACATATGACAGAATAGGGCATCAATTGAAGCATTTTAATATAAGTTTTGTGTTTATTCAGAATGTGTCAGAAGTGTTAAATTGTTTAAATTCATTTACACAAAATTTGTTATTATACACAGAATTATTGACTTTGTTTGCTATATGCATTTCATAAAATTATTAGTGCATACAAGTTAATAACAAATTTTCTTTATTTTAGGCAGCAATCACACAGGTCATTGAACAAATACCAAGTATAACATGGTAATTAATTTGTTCAAACTATCTTTTTAACACTAAGAACTGATATTTGGAATAAGTCTTATCAGTAACTTTAAATTAATTATGATTATCTTACACTGATGCCATTCATAAAAATAATTTGTTCAGCAGTTCCTTTATTCATAGCTTACAGAACCTTGGCAAAATTTGTAAGTTAATTAAAGGAACACAACTACACTCATTTACGTACCCAAGAATTTTTTTGAGACAGGACATTATTTTTACCCAGTGCTGGAAAATGATTTTCCAAAGTATGACTAGTCATGTGTGTTCGAAAATCAGAACCATTCTTTAAGACTTGACCACAAGTTGCACAAATTTCTAAACCTTTAATCGTATTGCCACTCTCTTTTTTGTGAACTTTAAATAGTTCTTGTTGCTTTTCAATATCTGGTAGGAGAACTAGAAGCTCAGGAAATACATTTTCAAAAGCGCTGAGACCCATAACTTCACGACAATGCGTGTAATAATCTTGAGCGTTACATGTTCCTTGACGAAACAATCCGCTTATGTATCGAAACTCTTTGATCTGATCATCTTGTGTTAGAACCTCATTAACTTTGGCTACAAGACATTTATTCCGTTTCTGAAATTCTGGTGGAGGTACATAGTTGTATGCACTATTGTGTTTACTATTATCTGGCAAGATAGAGTAACTCTCTCCAGAACTATTTGTGAAAGTCAATCCATTACTGTTGTTTATTTTATCCAGACTATTATATTTTATACAAAAACCAGGAGGTGGAGGAGTTGTTGCTCCAAACCCAGGTGGTGGATTTGTGAAACCTGGTGGTTTAGAACTACTGCCACTTAAAGCTGGAAAATCTTCTAAATGACGAGAATTTCTATTAGTGGAATTTAAGCTATCTATTTTTAATTCAGTACGCTTTCTCTGTACTCCATTAGTATTGTTATCAATATTCGTATTTACAGCTGCTTCATTGTCTACATTTTTATGCTTTTTCTTTTCCTTTTTATTATTTTGTTCAACTTTCTGTAAGACTTGAACATTTATATTTTTTGATGTATTTTCACTGTTACTAATATCTGCGTTTTGCATAGACTGAGAAATTGATTGTGTAGCATCTGTGTTATTCATACTGGATGGATTTATCGATGTCTCACATTCTTTTTTTACTACAACAGTACTTACATTCGTTTTTGAACTATTACCATTATTCCCATTAGTAGTATTATTATTACAATTTTGTTTAACTTTTTTCTTTTTTGTTTTTCCTTTTGTGATATCAGTAATGGTTTTTGCATTATTACTATTATTAGAACTCTGTGTTTGACCCCAGGAAGGAACTACTGTAATAGTTGATTGTTTTTTCGATTTAGATGATTTTGATAATGTAGGAAAATCTTCTCCAGATTGAATAGGTGGTGGAGAAGGTATTAATGGTGGTGAGGCTACTTTTTTAGCTTTCGGCACTGATGTAGATGTTGGTTTAGAACAAGTCCATTGTAGAACTTCCTTCCAATGAGCTGAGTTTGTATTACTAGTTGATGGTTCTGCAGAACCTAATGCTGGGAATGATTCCATTGAAAGCTGAGCAGGACGAATTCTGATATTAGGACCTGAAACTTTTGTAGTAACAGTTCCATTTGGTTCGTGATTTACTTGAATAGACAAGTTAGAAGTTGTATTCTTGTGAGATTGTGCACTTGATCCTGAAACATTACTACTAGAGACACTGAAATTAACAGTTTTAGAAATACTTGTATTTCCTGATTCTGGTCCTAATGCAGGAAAATTTTCATCTGTAACAGCAAGAGGCTGGGGTCTTATGGTACTGCGAATTGTTACATTACCTCTGCCTTTACTTTGATTTAATGTAGGTACAATAGGTGCAGTGTTACCCAGTGTTGGGAATTCTTCTGTGCTCTGTACATCCACAGATGGTTTCTGTGCAAAAGTAGATTCGTTGTTTGGCATAAATACATTTGAAAAATTTGATGTGGCCGTTTGCTGATATTCCCTGAGATTATAATCTCTCCCGCTGTAATCTCTTGAATTCCTGGAAGTCGACGGACCTAACATTCCTCTCCTGTTCATTCGATTTTCACCACGTGGAGCTAGTGTAAATTCTAGCTCTAATGTTCTTGCTTGCTTTGCAGCAGCTTTGCTCAGTTGTTTACTATGAACACTTGCCTTATGTGCTTTAAGATCTATATCAGTTCTAAAGACACTTGTAAATTTTTCCTCTGCACACATTCCTTCTTCACATAAGAAATGTTCTTGTCTGAAATGATCTCGAAGATAATCATATGAGCTGTAGTATTGATGTAAACCATCTGCGTCACAAAAATGACAATATAAGTGATCTCTTCTTAAATGTCGAAATAATTCATCATTATCCATATATCTTTGATCACAAAATTCACATAATGGATGTCCTTTATGACTTTTGTCATCAATGTCTCCTTTCCTTCTATGCTGGGCAAGATCAGATCTCGTATAACAACGTCTTTCATGAGAAAATATCTGTTACAAAAGAAAGCAAACATCATTTAGTGAAACTAAATAAATAAACGAAATAAATTAAAAATATTAAATAACGTTAATTATTAACCTTTAAATTTTCCACACAGAGATCGCAGTAATGTAATTCATGGTGATGTCTCATATGATCTTTCAAACTACTAAAAGTACTAAATACAGGTCTTTCTTTACAAATATAACAAACATTGGCTAATAAATCATAAAATTTATTTTGAATGTCTGATGTGTCAAAATAGATGTTGTATCGTGTATCTAATAGCTTGCCTTTATGTAAGTGACTGAAAGGTTTTATCTCCTTTGTAAATACAACTTTGGGCAAATCTTGACGGCAAATAGGACACTCATTTTGACAACAGAGTACTCTCATTCGAGTACTACATTCATAACATACAGGATGTTCACACATACCAATGCTATAAATATCAACATTTTTGTAACACACAACACAAGTGTTATTCGTACTTTCATTACTGGCAGACATTCTTTTTGTGAAATCTCCTTCAGAAATACTAACTATTGTGTACAATTCTCTTCACAAAATGTAATTCTTATTTTATGTTGATTTTGTTTGATTTCTATCTAATTTTCAATTTCGATGAAATAAATTCTATTATTTTTATATTGTTCTGCACAATCTGTAACATAGTTGACATTTTAATGTCAGTATATTTGTTCAACGTAACAATAATATAATCAAATATTATTTTCTTGAAATATTATTTTCTGATCAGTTATAGTTATTGAAAAGAATATAATACTTAAATTTGATAAAATACAATACGAATGTATAAAATTTTGATGTTTAACTAACAAAAAGAGAATAAAGACATATACGTGTTCAGATCCTTTACAACTACTAAATTTGCTAAAATAAACATTTTACGAAGAAGAGATTGTTTATTTTTTTTTTATACTAACAGTATAAAAATATTTCCTAGTAAATTGTTAAATATGTTTCAAGAAGCAAATAGAAGAAAATGAACAGTACCGTTTAAAAATTATTCCAATATGCAGATGGTAAAATCTCACAATATGTCCCTGAAAGAAAAAGGTTATCACGATTTATGTATTAAACTATGATATGTACGTTGGTTGGTTTGACGAATTCAGTTCGATGAGCAAGCAGTTCCGGTTTCTTCTGTTTCAGTCATTACTAAGTCAAAGAGTAACTAGATAAACTAGTGCCATTTGAATCTAGTGGCATTTCATATTAAACGCAAAATATCAAAATAATTTAATTTATATTTCATTCGTACTTACGAAAAATTTTGTTATTTTTATATTTATATTTGTATACAGTAAAAGGTTAAGAATGTAATTTTAATTATAAAAGTGTAGTGTAATAAAAGAAAATTCATACGTTTAAAAATTGTAAATCTCAAATTAATTTTATATAAACATTTAGATGAATTTAAACTGAAATTAAATTTCAAATTAAATCTCTGTTCTTCTTTATTCGTGTAATAATCTTATCTTAGAAATGAAATAACATTTGATCATAAAAAATGATAGTACATATATTTATGAATAATATTAAAGTATTTATTAACTCTTTTCAAAAATAACATTCTAATTTAATAATAAAACAACTCGTATTTAAAATTATATATTATTAAAACTATATATAATTTATTGTATAATTACAATTTCTTCTTTTGTTTATAAATATTAATTATGTATGTTATCTGAAAGTATACTGTCATGTAAGAAATATAAAAGAATTGTCAGTTAAAGATAATAACACAGGGCAAAATGTGAATAAAGACTAATATTTTTTAATTGATTTTCTTATAAGTGCCAATCTCTGTTTATGCGCTTCTGTAACTGTAGCACGTTTATATGGTCGTACTTCATCTGTGCCAAAACCAGGGATCCACATATTCCAATTTCTTTCTAAAAAAATTAAACAATTCATAGGAATATATAACATAAAAACATTGCATCAAGTAATTACTTACCTGATTATTTGTTGCGACTTACCTAAATGTAACTGTACATCTTTTACTTCTACAGTATTTGCATGACGATGCTTAGCTAACAAACATGCTGCATTTACAGTAGTTTCTACAAAATCATCTGCCAATTGTAATAACATTTCTTCTACATCATCATCTAATTGTTCGGTGGGATCTACTTCTTTCACTAAATCTTGTAATCTTGTTTTAGTCAAAAACTGGAATTAATACGATATGGGAACTCGAATAAATTTCCTATGTCAATTTACTATTTTTATAATACCAACAAACATACTTGTGGAAAATCATTGAAGGAACTCTGTTGTTGTTGAGATTGCTGTGTTTGTTGTGTGGAAGGTTGCTGTACTACCTGCTGTTTTGGAGGTTGGGATACAAATTGCGTCTGTTGAGATTGTGTCTGAGGCTGTAATATCTGTACTACTGTATTACCACTTTGTACATCAGGCACGGTAGTTGATGCCTGAGTATTAGGTCCAATAGATTGTAGACTACCAAGTACTGGTGTCATATCAAAGCCTTCGTTAGTTTATACGAGACCTGTTTGTTCTGTCACGTTGTTTTCAGACGTGTGTAAACCGAAGTGATGACAGTTTAACCTACTACCGCTAGATGTCTAAATCTTTTATTAATATGTAGCGACATCTGTTTCGCGGACATACCACCGAAGAGTCCATTTTAGATGAATTTATGGCGCCGGTTTTGTTGGGCTCTAAAGCGGAAGAACATTTGAAGATCGGCGTTGCTATGGAGATGTTTGTAGGTGGTTGTCAAGGAGATTCAACAAGCTGCGAGGATATAAATAAGAGTTGCAGGGTGGATAGATATAGAGACGCAGAGAATAGATAGAATGTTAAATATTGCATATTCCAAAGTATAAAGTATAGAAATAATTCATTAATTAATTTTATTATAAAAAATATAATATTACC